AGAATAACTTAATCTATTTAATCTTAATGTTTAGTCAAGGTAGCCTGAATCATACACTCGCTCTAACTGCTAAAGGGAAAGTCTATGGCTGGGGTTCGAACATATAGACAATTGAATCTGAATAACAGAGTTGACCTAATTTTATCTCCTATCAAGGTGAATAATTTGCTTCTGTAATTACATTGTGACAAATAGGAAACAGAAAAGCGTAAAATAAATCAAACAATTTTTTGATCAACAGATAAACATGGATAATGTAAAAAAAATCGGACATCGCTGTCATTGATTATAAAAGCTTTGTCAAGTTTAGCGTGGGACATATTTACACATACAGCTTTATTTTTAATATACCAATTAAAAAACTTGTTGTCTGTAAATGTACGAACGCATGTGACTCGATGATAGCTCATTTACCAATGTCCGTGGCCTGTGAATTCATAAATGAAGAATTTCACATATTAAATGATTTGGAAACTGCATTGAACGATCAGGTTAGACTTTACTCTGTATTTATTTGTTTCTCGAATTCAGTATTTTCAATGAAGTATCATAAGAATTGCAGTACGGTTTATTTTTACAATTTAGTTTTGAAACCTTAAAAGATGTCAAAAAAATTTCAAACTCTTTCAACTGATGGATTGTTAAAAATCGTAAGCAAGCCATTAATTAAAAATGCTTACAATCTAGAATGGATTATATTGACTGTTATAGTTCTATTCTTTTGTCTCTTTGATAAAGTCTTAGCGTATTTTTCAATACTATCTCGTTTCGTGATTTGATATGTTAAATATTTTTCTTTTTATTACACTATACATTTTTTTATTGCGTAACAAAAGAAAAGATTTGGTGATTACATAATACGCATGTGCATCTTTAATAATTTATTCGTGTTTTCTGTCTCTAGAGTCAACGAATGATTTCACGATAGTAATCGAGAAACAAACAATTTATGTTCACAAGGCTATCCTGAAGATTCGTTTTATATATTTTGAAAATATGTTTCGAGCTAATTGCATTGAAAGCAAACAAAGGTACATATTTATAAAAAAAGTGTATATTTTTTAAAGAACCTTTGTTGTTTTATTCATTTGTAATATTTCCACATATTTTTCAACATTATCGAGATTCGTTATTATAGATACGTTGTTTATAAAACATTTTTAGAATGTTTATATACTAGTAGAATCAATCTGTTATCTTTTGAGGACCTGTTAGGTGAGTTTGAGTTAAACGTAGTACATATTATATCTGCAATTTGCGATTAAATATCTCGTCATTGCAGATCTTTTGCAACTGGCAGATGAAGTCTGCCTGAAAAATCTCCAGATACATTATAGTACAGGAACAATAAAGAAAACAATTACTGTATTAAACGTCATACACTTCTTTAACCTTATCAACAAAATGGCGGAACACTACAGGAAGATGATAGAATTATTTTTTTTTCTATTGTGGATTTCTTTTTTTTCTGAGACAAAAGAAAGAATTATAGAATTTATAATGCATATAATAAATATGGGATTTATGTATTAATCCAATTGAGATTTGTTTTCCATTCTTCTTTCTATCCCAGTAAAATATTCTTCTCTTTAAAATTCTTATATGCAAATCTTTTACTTCACACGAATATCACTTTTTAACGCAGAATTCATTAGTTCTAAAAATGTATTTTTGTATTAAATGTTTTGTAATTCATTTATATGTGTGGTATCTATTCTTTAGGAATTAATGAAATATTGCTTCAACTTCTATTTTAAAAACATGACGAAAATAATACGGACAGAAGGTTTTCAACAAGTGCCGCAACAAAGGCTATGTTTATAGATAAAGAGAGAGATTTTTTTTTCATCAAGAATTAATAGATCTGGTTTAAAATAATATTTCTTGTTTTAAAGAGAAGAAGCATATAATGGATATTCTGTAAAAATGATTTATTATTTTTGTCGAAACAATTATTGCATGTATTATTCGATTTATAAAAAATGATTAAACAATTGTAAATAAATTTTAAATACAAAAGGAAAAAGTCAATTTAGAATTGTGAGATTAAATTATTTTAAATACATTGTATTTAAATATTGTTGAATGTTGACGTAAATGAAAAATAAATAATAAACAGTGATTGAAAACAGCAAAATATACAATTGTTGTATGGATTTTAAGAATCAATTGAGTATTCTTTCACGTAAACTATTATATTAAGAAAATTTTCATCGAAGAATCAGTTAAATACTCGAGCAATCCGTCAATAATATGCTATATACATATACCTATATACATACCTATATACTACCTGCTATACATACACTCGTCAACAAAATTATCGCATAGGTAAATTTATATCAAAATTTCACACAAATTCAAATAAGCGTAACTCCGCGAAAAATGATCTTATTTAAAAGTTTCCTTTTTCATTTTCAAAGATTACGTACTTTACGAAGTTTTCAATGAATTTTGAGTTTATCCTTAAACCCCCGTGATGATTGTCGCATTCTACACTACGGAGTGGAGTATATTTTTTTCGTAAATGTCATGATAATCATGGTAAAGTATGGACTTTTCTTTTAACAAATTAAAAAAAAATTAAGCTGTGTACGATTTTTTTTCGAAGAGATACAATGCATCAAACTTACGTATGCATTTTATTCCGCAATTACCGTCAGGATTAGCATATATTACCCTACAGGCACTACGGAGAGGTTGCTGATCGGATTTTGCGAATCGTGTGTTGTGTATGTCTGTGTGTGTGTGTGTGTGTATGTGTGTGTGTGTGTGTGTGTGGGAAGGAGGGAAGGTGAAGATACGAGCGAGTTTATTTACTCTTTAAAATTGTGTACTTTTTCCTCGTTTTCGCATGATTTCTTGTAAATGTGCATGCATATTGATGCAAACTCTAATTGAAGCCTGAAGAATTTCCTATATTCAATGCAATGCTGCTTCCAGTGCACTAAATTTCCTCGTTGCCAAAATCGCATTATATTGAAAAGAATCCTCATTATAAATGTTATAATAGCGCCAAAAAATTATGAAAAAATTGATATGAAAAAACAAGAAAGGGAAAAGAGTGCAGTGCTATAAATGTTTATAGTGCTGCAAAAAACTTATAATTTCTGAGTTATGAGTTAAGTAAAAAGTGGTGCAATTTCGACAACCTTACCGTATGTATGTATGCAGGATCCACTTGAATCGACCATCTGAAATATCTCGCTTATTTATGATGATATAAAAAAATGTTTCAAATGAAAGTAGAGCTGTAAAAATACTGTCAATTTTACAAATACTTACGGTAAAATGGTAATTTATTGGTAATTTTGGCTATATTTTTTGTCTTTATAGTTATATACGCTGTATTTCCGTACTTATGTATAAAATAAAATAACATTCTTTTAATATCCCTAATAAGAATCGCTGATAGAATAACAGGGCTATTGATTAAATCTAAACATATTATTTAATTATAACAAAACATGTATGACACATAGACGATTCATCTTTAAGTGCGTGGCTACTTGTCGCGTTAGGTCGCCGACGGTGTTGATCGCGATATTATAAATGGGTGTATATCAATTGTCCACATCACTAATTGGCTAATTAAAAATAATGTAATTTTATTAGTGAAGCAGTGAAAAATTACTAGGAACAGGCCGATGTGAGTGGTGTGTGCAAGTGCGCCATTCTTGTTGTAAATCGTTCCTGATTTGACATCCCTGCCTTAAATATTGTCGGTTGTCTAATTATTATATCAAGATATAGTATCAAAATGAAAATTTAATGTTAAACAAAGCGTTTTAAACTTAATGACTAAATACTCTCAAATTATTGTACTTTATTTTTCTATGTATAATAATTTTTTGAAATTATGATTTTACCAGTTTGGTCATTTTTATCTCGAAATGAAAGTGAAATAGTTTTGAGGGGCATTTTGGTCATGTTATTTTTTTTCTAGGTGGAGACGCCAAAAAGATATGAAGCTCATCTCTATTTTTTAAAATGGAATTATATGACATTTTTTTTACACAATATGATTTCTTTAATTTAATTATAAATTATTCCTCTAATTATAATTATAATTATTCCGCATATAAAAGTATCGAGATAATGATATAAAAAGAACCAACAGTTTACGAGATATTTTACACTTTTATTCTATATTGTATATATTGATATAAAATGTTAAATAATTCGTAAACTAGTAACTTTTTGATAATCATACCTTAATACTTTTATGAACAGAATAATGAGATGAAAGTTGGTGGAAAGAAATTTATTTAGCATTTTATGTCAATATGTGTCAAAGTAAAATATCTCGTAAATTATTGATTTTTTGACATTACTATCTTAATACCTTTATATAAAGAATAATTAGAGGAATCATATTGTATAAAAAAAATCATACAATTCCATTTGAAAAAGTGGAGGTGAGTTTTATATCTTTTTGACGCCTCCACCTAGAAAAAAGAATATAATCAAAATACGTTCCTCTCGAAACAGTTCCACTTCCATTCGAAATATTTTTTTATATCATCAAAAATAAGCGAGATTCAGACGATCGATTTAAATGGATCACCTTGTATATAAATAACGCACAGCAACGTGTTGAAAAATTTAACAACATAAGCGCATCCTGTGTGGAATAATTATTAATCTTAATCGGTGACAAGGGGAAGTTCCATTTGACCATGTAGCGATTAGAATCACTCACAACTTATAGCACTGATTTAATATTTTAAAGTTATAGGTATAGATCATAAAAGCTAATTTCTAATATAAATAACTCGAATCATATTCTAACATCATGAATACAAACCCTAAATAGATAATATTTATACTGATCTCTCAATAACACGAAGGTAAATTTATATTGATTTTGAAGGAAAGAGTTCGTTTTTTTCCGATTTCAATCGTCAGTACGCATCACTTGTGAAATAAAATATTGTTAAAAAAGATATTTAACAAATATTTCTACAAATTGTATTTAGTGTAACGTATCGATCATTATCATGTCTATTTCGCTCAAATTTGACGAAAACCTTATAACAGAGAAACAGCAAAATATAGACTTAATCACTTTCAAACGTTGGTAAGTTTAAAGTTTCTTTTTTTTTATTTTTTTAAATATACATCGACAAATAATTTGAAATAATAATAGACGGATATTGATGATCCAGAATTAGACTTATATTTTTAGTACATTGATTTAGCCAAAAAATCCAACGACATATTACATGTGCCTTTATAATATAAATGCGATTAGATTCTTCTTTGTGCATATTTTTATGCGACAATGAAAATTTATGTGTAAAGTTTAGTCCGGCTCTACAATAGATTTTAAGTCTTAAGCCATAAGAAATTTACCTGTTACAATCGAATGCAAGAAGAATAATTGATTATGATTCGTCCATTTCTTACGACTTAAGATTTAAAAATCTATTGTAGATCTGGGCTTATTCTACGATTGCGAAAGTCACAAAATTAAAAAAAGAAGACAACACAAGAAAACATTCGTTTGTATATTGATTGAAATTCCCAAAATTTTTATACTTAAAATAAGATGAACGCACATTTGAGCGTTGAAAAGAGAGAAAATTGAGAGTAAGAAGTACAAACAATATGAAAAGATTCAAGATTTTACGCCAATTCAATTTTCCACGTAGGCATCAAGAACTTGCAGATGATAAAAGCAACGTAATAGCTAATTAATATTCTTCGCGAAGTAAAAAAGTGATAATTATCATATTTAAATTTAAATTTATTATACTTTTTATGTCTGTATGAGCATAGATAAAACATATAAGATTTCTTGAGAAATCTTTCTTTCTTCTATTTTTTTTTAATTTTATAATATCAAGAAAAGATAGCAGTTTTTGTCTTTGTAAAACGATATACAGGATCGTCAATATTAATTACAAAAAGTGTATCATACGATCAGATCTTATGGCCATGCTATACAAGAAAACATGATTAACAAAGCTTGAGCAAAAACCAAATCACAGTTGAAAAATTTCAAAAGCGTACTTAAAAAATTTTAGATTTTTTTTGCTAATTTCTTACAGTTCTTACATCTTTTCATACGCAATAGTTATCGTTCTTTTCACATTTATTTATTTTATTTATTATTAGCTCAATCTACAACTTTTCCAATAAACTAAAATTCCGACAACCATCACTTACTGTTCTTCACAAAACGAGATACATTAATTACTTTCCTAATTAATCATTTATTTGTATTTATGGTAATATATATTTAATAACAATTGTAATTATTTTTATCCAAGGCTTGCACTGCAATCGTGCATCGACTATAAGAATGGTACTGGCTATATAGATAATGAATATCATCCGACAAAAGTGGATATTATGTTCAAAAAAAAAATAAAGTTGATGATTGCCAATATTACGGATAAGGGCAATGCTTTTTTGGTTACTCAAGACGTTGAGGTACATGAATAATTTATATATCGTAATAAAAATTGACATTTTATTGTATATTTTACTAGAATGAATCTTCGCTGAATTTGTTTGACATTTAAAAATTACATTATAGAACAGTGTATAAAGTACACAGAGTGTAAAAGAAGATTATCATTTTTATCTCTTAAATAAAATATATGGAAATGAAAAAAAGACAAATTGTTTTATAAGGTAAATTTTGCCTTTATAAAAATGTTTTTATTAAAAAAAAATAATAAAACTTATGACATGTATCACTAACTATGTACATGTCCTTTATAAAAGCAATAATCCTATGAAGGAAAAATGAGTATATTTTATATATTTACAACGTTAACATACATGCCAAATACATTTAATACGTTAATTTTTTTATATGTTTGTTATATCATGTTGTTTTCTATCATGTGCATATAATAAGTGCATAATGTTTTACAATAAAGTTATTAGGTGTTGGAATTAATTCGTAGCGTTTTTTAATGAAAGAATGTTATTTATTTCACATGAGCATTAAAAAATACATTAATGAAAGTACTTTTAAAACTTATAAATACTTTGTAAAACGTTACGAATTAATTCCAACACCTAATATAAGAAGTTAAAATTTATTTTTTTATATTTAATGTATTGAACAAGCTCATAGTATTGACAACAATTTTGTAAGTTTACTAAATATATGATCAACTCTCTATTAATTTTTGGGTTACTTTCCCTTATAGGAATTTAATACTAGTACTGGTCGCAATTAATCATTTAGTTTGAGTATTAAAAGTATTGTTAACAGCACTTTTAATACTAAAAATAAGTGATTAATTGGCCAGTTTTGATATTAGATTTCTATAAGAGTTTATAGTATTACATTATTTTACTTTATGATATAAATTCAATGTAACAAATTCATTGAATCCATATAAAGGATGATACACTGAAATTGAAAATTTTGAATATTTCAATTGTTTTTTATGAAACAAAAAAACGTTTCATATGAAAGTGAAAGAGCAGTTTCCAGAAGAACGTATTTTTTGGTTATGTTAATTTTTTTAGATGGAAGCACCACAAAGATTTAAAGAACTTTATTTTTTTAAATAAAATTATGATTTTTTAAATATAATATGATTGCGTAATTGTTCTACATATAAATAAAAATATTAAGCAGATACATCAAAGATATTTTATATTTTATTCTACATATTAAGATTTAGTCTTATGAAATAAGAATAAGAAGACTTAACTAAGGTAAATGTCCCAATTAGTGACAATCGTGAATGTTTTTCTTAATAAATCAATTAATATAGATCAATGGGTGTTGTGTTCATTCTAAAAAATGTGTTAGTATTCAAAATTGTATATGTTATCTATTACAACGAATTTTGAATAAAATTAAACGCTTTTGTAAACGCTAAAATATTATAATTGTAAGCAAGTTATTAATGATGACAAATCTAACAGATGCTTACTAACATCTTGTAAGGCAACGACTATATCGATGGTCTTTTTGTCGAATGATTCTAACTATTATTAAATTATTATTAAACTAAAAGTAAGCACCAAAATTAAATAGCTATTAAAAACATTGTGAATAATAACTGAAAACATCACAAAAATACATATTTTAATTAATGCATGTTAATTACATCACTAATCGGTACTCAAATTTTGTTTGTCTTTATTATTTATATTATTTTATTATTTATTACTGACATTCCAAACAAATATCATATAAAAATGTTCCTTAAATGAAATATGTAATTTATAAATATCACTTATTATTAAATTAAGAAACAATATTAATATTGTAACTTACAGTCTTGCAGAATTTAAAAAATATACAAATATGAGTTCCTAATCTATGAATTGTCTTGCTTAAATTAATAATAGGATACTCATGATTTTATACCAATTTGTGACAGCCGGTGCAGTTTCCTAACCTAAAACGACAGTATATTTTTATTAGTTAAATTGTTTAACTCCAATGTTTTAATCAAATTAACAATATATTGAGTACAAATAGTAGCAATTTATAGATACGATTAAAAATAATTTAAATTAAATTAAGATTATTTAACTGGATATCGGTAATAAGGACGTTCCTTTGTCTACAATGTGTGAATATTAGGAACGTTATATGTTTATATCAATGATATGGACCAATATGCATCATAAATTAGAACAATTTCGAATACACGTGTCATTAAATGATATAAAAACAACGTTTATAAATATATAATAAATAAATTAAGAAGTCCTAAGAAAATAAAAAAAATTATGTTATCATAATCTTAAATGTCCAAACTTTCTAAAAAAAAATTAATTTCATGTACTTATTGTACATACGTATCGACAATTTATTAATTCTCTTTTGCAAGTTACTTTATTACTAATTGAGACATTTAAATAGGATAAGGAGAAAAAAGTTAGTCACAAAAAATGTCCTCTATACTGCCAGGTTCGTTGAACGGAATAACTTGCAACATTTTGTCGTCATATTGAGCATTCATACAGTGAGTGCAAAAAGTATTCGTACAGAGAAAATATTTTTTAAAAAAACTTTATTTTTAAAAAGTAAATATTATCCAGAAATGATTCATCGAATTGATATAAATATTGATGTCGAATCGATATAAATACAATGATTTCAACATCAATTTCGACATCGATTCAATGTTTAATTGACGATCATTTTTGTTGATAATTAATAATTTATTCATAAATAATAAAATGGGCTGTATGTTTCTTAAAATTATTATATATATATCAAATTATATACCAAAAAGATGTATAATTATACAAAATATATAATATCATCCGAAAAATAAGTGAAAATTAAAAATTGTATTGTTTGAATGCTCAAAAAGTATTCGTGAGATAAGAAATTTAGCTCCTAAAATTAGGAATACGTACGAAGCTCGTTTATTTATGTTAGAATAAAATGTATTCAATTGTATAAAATTGCTAATTAATGTTTATTTTTTACAAAGATTTTTTTTTATAAAAAAACAAATTCCTTGTACGAATACTTTTTACTCTCATTTACACCTGAATACTTTTACAAACAGAATAATAAAGAGAATTAATTTGTGTAAAAAGAACACATAATTGCTTAAAAAAAATATGAAGTTGAACGATTAATTTTAGAAACAAGCAATTGCGTTTTCATTACACCAAATGATCCCGTATTATATTCTGTTCATATAAGTTTTATACGTATTAGGTGTTGGAATTAATTCGTAGCGTTTTTTAATGAAAGAATGTTATTTATTTCACATGAGCATTAAAAAATACATTAATGAAAGTACTTTTAAAACTTATAAATACTTTGTAAAACGCTACGAATTAATTCCAACACCTAATAGAATAATTAGAAGAATCATATTATGTAAAAAAATCATGTTATTTTATTTACAGTAGTGGAAATGACCTTTGTATTTTTTAGCGCTCCCACCTATAAAAAAATGTGATCAAAATATGTACCTCTCGAAACAATTCCAATTTCATTTGAAAAATTTGTTCGTATTATTTTAGGAAAAATGAAATATTCAAGGATTTCAATTTTAAAAAATAACATCTTGTATAATTAATTTAACTGAATAAATCAATGATCACGTTATATTTTTAAAAGAAATACGTATGGGAAGATATAAGTGCAAAAATTGCATTCAATTTTGAAGTTCAATCTATAGACAATGAGGTTGAAAATGAAATTATGACAAATTTTGAAAAGCTCTCACATTATATATATTATACTTCCCATAAAATTGATTGGAGCAACACAAGAATTGTAAAAGCTGCAACTAACACGATTAATTTTCTCGCTTTGACTGATGATGGCAAAGTAAAGTATTACGACGATATTATCATGAATACATTAGTAATAATAATTATTAATTTTAATTAGATATATTACATTTATTTAATTTAGATATATTACACAAATGTTTGGAGCGGAGGAAAAAAATGCAGTATACATCAAATAAATATCAATGAGAAAATTACATGCATGAGTTGCGGAACTAATTTTTATGTGGTAGTTACGAATAACTGCAAAACGTTCAGTTGGGGTATAATTTTGTATGAGAAATTGAATACTTTTATCAGTCCTATCCAAACCTCAGAAGCAATAGTTTTCGTAGAAGAGCCATGTAAAATAGCCGAATTTACAGGCAAAACAATTGGTAATTTTCTTTAAAACACATTCCTAAAAATGTAAAAATGTATACATGAAGAATTTATGACTGCAAGTATTGTAGAATAACTTAATCTATCTTAATGTTTAGTCAAGGTAGCTTGTGGGATTGATTATACACTTGCTCTAAGTGATAAAGGGAAACTCTATGGCTGGGGTTCAAACATTAATGGACGATTGAATTTGAATTACAGCGATGAAATTTTTTCTCCTATTATGGTAAATGATTTGTTTCTGTAATTGTATTATGACAAATCGGAAAAGAGTAGGAAAGTAAATTAAGAGTAAATTAAACTAGAGAATTTTTCGATCGGCAGATGAATATAGCTAATGTAAAAAAACTATCGGACATCGCCGTCATTGATTACAATAATTTTGTCAAGTCTAGCAAGGATGGATTTGTGTACGCATGGGGTTTTATTTTTGACATACCATTTAAAAAACCAGCCGTTTGTGAATATACAAACGTGTTTGACATATCCAACTCAATGACAGCTCATTCACCAATGTCTGTGGCCTATGAATTCATAAATGAAGAATTTCACATATTAAATGATTTGGAAACTGCATTCAACAATCAGGTTAGACTTTATTCTGTGTGTTTATTTGTTTCTCGAATTCTCGAATATTTCCAATGAAGTACCATAAGAATTGCAATACGATTTATTTTTACAATTTAGTTTTGAATCTTAAAAGATGTCAAAAATTTTCAAACTCTTTCAACTGATGGCATACTAAAAACCGCAAGCAAGTCATTAATTAAAAATGCTTACAATCCGAAATTGATTATACTGATTATCATAGTTCTATTTTATCTCCTTGGTAAAGTCTTAGCGTATTTTTCAATAATATCTCTCGTGATTTGATATCTTAACCCTCAATACCTACATTTCAAAAAAGTTCCTATCTACCGGATATTTGTAACTTAGCATCTTCTTTTGTTTGTATCTCAGATTGTAGAGCATCGATTTTAATTAACTTTTTTTTATCTATTGTTTGAAGATTAAGAAAAAGAATTTTTGAGTTAGAAAGTTTAAGATGTCATAGATACACAAAAGATATTTTGCAATAAGTGAAAAGGGGTCGGAAAAAAAAAACGTCTAACCTATCGAGGGGCTTATGCCCTTTATGGATACTGAGGGTTAAATGTCTTTCTTTTTATTACATTTTTTTATTGTGTAACAAAAGGAAAGATTTATTGATTACATGATACATATGTTCAATTTTAATAATTAATTTGTGATTCCTGTCTCTAAAGTCAACAAGTGATATCACGATAATAGTCGAGAAACAATCAATTTATGTTCACAAAGTTATCCTGAAAATTCGTTCTACATATTTTAGAAGTATGCTCCAAACTAATTATATTGAAAATAGACAAAGGTACATTTTTACAAAAAAATATTTAAAAAAAACCTTTTTTGTTTGATTTGTTTGTAATATTTTAATATATTTTTCTTGACAGCGTCATCGTGAATAATTATTATAGATATGTCGTTTATAAAAAATTTTTAGAATATTTATATACTGGTGGAATCAATCTATTATCTTTTGAAAACCTATTAAGTGAGTTTGAATTAAACGTGTCGAATATTACATATATGTTCGCGACTAAAGTATCTCTTTGTTGCAGATCTTTTGCAATTAGCAGATACATTATGCGAGAAAAATCTCCAAATGGATTGTATACGAAAAATAAAGAAAATAATTAATGTATCAAACGTCATGTACCTTTTTAACCTTATCAACGATATGAACGAAGAACATCACAAGGAGGTAACTGATAGTATTATTTTTTGTTTTTATTATGGATTTTTTTTTCTATTGTAAGATAAAAATATTGCAGAATTTATAATGGGATTAACATATTAATCCAATTGGAATATGTTTTCCATTTTTCTCTTTTTATCCTAATAAAATATTCTTCGCTTTAAAATTCCTAGACATGAATCTTTTACTTTATAAACAAATGTATATTCCATTCTGAAGTTCAAAGCCGGGACTAGGCATTTCGGCACCCGAGACAAAATAAAAAAAATGCACTCCTTGGTAAAAAATATTTGTTTATAACATGTGAAATATAACATAGTACAACACACATTTCCTCCTGTGAAAAAATCAAAGAGATTCTGAAAGTAGATGTAAAAAAAAATACCCGTGTCTCGGCGTTTTACCAGACCAGTCGTTAACGTTTTATATGCAGCCATTTATCGTATTTACTTCATATTGGCTTTTTACAATTGTTTTAAATTATATAATAATTTTTTTAAATAAATAATTGACGTTTTTGCATGTAAAATTATGCGATGAGTCCCATTACAAAAAAAATAACTGAGAATTTTTTTTTTATATATTTTCAAATTTTTGTATAATAATAATAATATAATTATAATTATAATTATTATAAGAATCTTGGTTATTTGATTTGCCGTTTATATGATTCTGATTTTGTATCATGAATAATAGATCAACAATATTCACCAAGCATGTGTTTGACGTTTTTTCCTTTGTTTCTCAATATCTTGAAAACGTTCACCATGTTCATCATTGAATTCACCGAAATTTGATAGAAAAAAATCCAAATGAGGAAAGTGAAGAAAGTGTATTTTGAGTGACATGTTAACTTTCATTGCATGAAAAGCCGAAATCATTTTAGCAACAATTTTTTTGTAATTGTCAGCTTTTTTATTACCCAGAAAATTTTTATATAGTATCAGTCAGTATCAAAACACGGGTATATTTTCTTAACATCTATTTTAGAATCTCTTTGAATTTTTCGTGGGAGGAAAAAAAATCGATTTTTGTCGTACTGTAATAAGAAATATTAATTAATAGTAATTAATAACATATACATATACTAATTAATAGTATTAATATTAATTTAATATAATTACGTATAGGAGAGGATTTATATGCTATAAAATTTACATATATGTTACAAATGAAACAGTTATTAAAATCACAATAATATTTTTCGTGTTTTGATAGATGCGAAATTATCAATTATTATATCAAAATCTATATTACCTTTCATTTTCTATTTCATTTTCAATTGAAAGATTTCCTATATTTTCCTGTATTTGATAATACAGGTCCACAGAAAAAAAGTACCATGTGCTGAGGTAAAGACTCAGCTATTCTTATGTATTTTGAGTCGCTGAATATAAATCCGACATAAAAATCGGATCATCCGGAGTAAATTTTCAATCTAAAAAATAGGTCAAAAACCTCGAAATCTCTGCTTTTATTAATATATTCTAAGATCATAGGCAAAAAACTTTTGATTAAACCTAAATCATATGTTTTCCGAGTTGAGAATTACATGCAAATATAGTGATACATAGGTGAAAACACCTACAAGTATCTGCTGCCATGGAGGATACTGGAGACGATGACAAATGCCCCGAATAACAGTCCCGAATGATTCGTTTTCTAATCCACCGTGGTAATGAAGCCAGCGAAGGCGTACTGCCTTGCAGGGAGCCAATAGTGTCTTATACAGCACAGAAAGATTGCAGAAACATTGCAGAATGATTTCACTAAAACATTGCAATATTATATGACGGTTGCGAAACGTTGCGAATAACTGCATTCTAACAATGTTAAGATATCCGCTGTTTGTTATATTGCAACAAAACGTTCCAGCATTATTGTAATGTATTTGGATAAATTTTTTAGGAAAACTCTAAAATGAAAACTATTTCTAGACAGATATCTCACTAACTTTAATTTTTCCACAAATTGCATTTCTAATGATATGTGCTTTTCAAAAGCAATTTTTTATAAAATCATAAAATATTCCAATGAATATAGTATTAATTCTGAAGGATAAATTTATTCGTAAGGATAAATCACATGTATGTGTGTGTCCCGAACAAATTACAAATATTATCCACATTAATATAATAATATAATTAATATAATACAGTCGCTTGATAAGTTAATCACAGTGATTCTTTTTAATTCGAAACCACTCCGAGTCAATTGAAATCGATTAAAAAAAGACGGTATGAAATTTATTAATAAGTTTAGGCGCCGGTTTATTCATGCGTTCACATCAGGCATAAATACATCATTGATCACATAATTAATATTTCGATAAATCGTTTTCAGCAGCTTAATTGTTTATCGTCTTATCCGATAATGATTGTATCCAAACTCGATATTATACAATCTTTTGATTTCATATTTAAAATAAATATAAAACTTAACTAATGAAATGGCTGTTAAATAATAGATCAATAAATTTTTTACTTAAATATAAAATGAATTATATTAATTATTATATCATAAGTTAAACTAAAAGACTGTACTACATAAATATTGTAAAAACTTTTATTTTTATATTATTATTATTATAACAATTAAAGAATTAAAGTTTTGCAACGTTGGAATATTATAAGCATATTACTGACATTTTGTAGGCATATTGTTAATTTACATTTCTGTAATATCTCTGCAATGTTACATTGCAATCTGCAATATTGCAGCAATATTGCTTCAATCTTCTGTGCTGTATAGGTGTGAAACCGTAATATGATCAATAACATTTAGAAGACAAAAGAGTGCGGAAACAGGCACGAACATAAATTGATCTTTTTTTAAATATTCACAGATACGATAGATATGTGATGCGAAGACCCTGGATGATCCTATTTTGATGTCAGATTCATATTCAGCGATTTAAAATACATATGAATAGCTGGGTCTCCCTATATGGTACTTTTTTCTGTATAATTTTTCTTAACTTAACGACAACCTTAAATAATTTTTCATTAACTTCAATTTAATGTATTAGCATCAAGTAATTTAAAATTATTGTTAATAAGTTAGAATATGTAGGAAATTAAATTGCCACTTTTGCGCTCCCTTTAAATTGTTTACATGAGGTAAATGCCTCGCTCACCACATCCGGCTCTGTTGAAGCTATCCACCTGCTAATATCACTTTTAGGATACGGTCAACACGATGCTACGAATGTTTTAAATAAAACGAATGCTTTGATTAGTCAATTTGCAAAATTCTTTTTTCTAATTGGTCAACCAAATGTTTCAAAACATTTGTAGTGAGACTTTAACCGCAGCCTTAGACAGAATTCATTAGCTGTAAAAATATATCTTTGTATTAGAGTAGAGAGCGGAATTAGTCGTGACATATTTTTTAAGTTATAAATCTTTACACAATTATGATAGACTAATGGTAAATACTTTAAAACGTTGCATATTCATCTGGCTCAATAACTGAATATTTATAAATCGTTAATATCTTATAACTAAGAAAAAAAATGCGTTCATTATAAGGATGCAAAGTGGATCAATATGCCACCTATGTTGAGCATCCTCGAAGGAAAATAATTATATAATGAGAAATGTATAATGAAATTATATACGATTAAAAAACTTGAAAGGATTATGTATATATTAATCAAATTTGTATTAATAGTGTAATAATTTGTAATATTCTCTCTTTTTAAATGCTTATTAATTAACAAAATTAGAAAATCTTTATTCTTTATAATAATAATTAAACGTAAAATATATATTTAATTGTTAAAATAGAACAAAAAGTATCCATAAAGATAGATTTCATTTAAGCAGCTGAGTTTATAAGGTTCGTTATGGATATTGGGTCCAACAAGCCCCATATTGGCATTGACTGAAATACTTATTTATAACTGAAAAACCGTAAATAAAATAGCAACTTAAATATTAAAGTTAAAAAATACGATAATAACTTCCAAAAATACATTTGATTGTTATAAATAATTTTAATTACTACATAGACCAAAAAGAATATTCATCTAATAATTTTATTTTTAATAGAAAATGAAAAAGCGCATATATTTGGCTATTGACAGACATAAATTATTGTATTAAGGCACAGTAATCTCTGTCTTTGTGCTACTTACGCAAGCATAGACGTATCTATATATATATATTAGGTGGTTGAATTAATTCGTAGCGGTTTACAAAGTATTTATAAGTTTTAAAAGTACTTTCATTAATGTATTTTTTAATGCTCATGTGAAATAAATAACATTCTTTCATTAAAAACGCTACGAATTAATTCCAACACCTAATATTTTGGTTATTTAGATATTTGCATTTAATCAATTTGCTCTTATGCGCAACTAACCCCGCTCTATCCTACATGTTTTTAAATTATTTATATGTGTAGCTTCTATTTTTTAGGAATTGATGAAATATTGCTTCAACTTCTATTTTAAAAACATGACGACTGTAATCCGGACAGAAGGTTTTAAAGAATTGGATGTCGAAACAAAGGCTATGTTAATAGATAAAGGGTACACCTTTTTGTCATCAGAAATTAGTAGTTCTGGTTATTTAGAATAATATATTTCTTAATTTAGAGGAAAAAAGAATATAATGGATTTTGTTCTATGAAAACGATTTACTCTCATAATCGAAATTGCCATTATTGCATATGTTATTTAATTAATACAAAAAATGATTAAAAAATAAGTAAATGAATAACAAATATAAAACGAAAAAAATTAATTTAAAATTGTGAATAAATTATTTTAAATAAATCATATTGAAATACTGTTGAATGTTGTAAATAAAAAATAAATAAATAATAAATAGTGATTACTGAAAATGATAAGATATACAATTATTACATGAATTTTAAGATTCAATGGAATATTCCTTCACACAAATTCTTGAGAAAATTCTCATCGAACTCCCACGTCAAATAGTCGAGCATTCCGTCAAAAATATATTCAGATAGCAAAATGTTAGCAGAATGTCGATAGACTGGTAGCAGATTTGATTAGAAGATGTCAGCAGACTGATCATAACTGATGTCTCAGTCTGCTTCTATTCTGCTGACAGACCTATTAATATTCTATGCAAATAAACTGGCAGCAAAAATTAAGCAGAACCTGCTGACAGAATCTGATAACAGATTGCGAGCCAGAATCTGTTGACATAACTTGACAGCAAGTTGGCAATAAAAATCGAGCAAATCCTGCACTAAACTCCATTTTATGTGCGGACATAAAATGTATTTAATTATATTTTTTACAAATATGGACGTATAGGGCTTTACTTAAATTAAATTTGAGGCATATTAAAATCAAATATGGTTATATTTAGATTACTAATTTTTGGTGGGATTTTCACATAAAAATCTATTTTGTATGTCTGTAATTAGATAATTAAGAATTTATCCGGAATTTACGATTAAATTATATTTGATTTTTATTTGAAAATACATACTAATGGTTCAAACCAGGATTTCCATTTTTAATATGTTTAATCTAATATGTTTAATCTGTTTCTCTCTCTGTTGCTCTGGACAAGGACGCCTATGTATCAAGAATGAAGGAGATTCTCTCAGACACGAGTACTTAAGTCTTCGTTAATAAAGATCCAAGTAAAAAATTAACTCGAGACTTACGCACTTTTTTGGTGAGATGGAGGCGAGATCAATTTATTCACGAACTAACATACCGTAGACTGCTTATCCGATGGTGTTATACCTAGAGCTTACGGTCTGACTAAAATACATAAAGAGGGTTACTCATTGAGAGTGATTGTTTCATATATCAACAGTCCATTATATAATTTTTCTCTTTTTTTACACAATTTAATTAGTGACAGTATTCTAAAAACTCCCAGTTACATTAGAAACAGTTTCCATTTAGTTGAGCATTTAAATGGTTCTGTTTTTTATCCTAATTATGTTTTGGCTTCGTTGGATATAATATCCCTTTTTACTAATATTCCTGTTGAGCTAGCATTAAATAGCATCGACAGGAGATGGGTTTACATCTCGACGAAGACACGCATATCAAAAAATGAGTTCATTATTGCTGTCAGATTCATTTTAAATTCTACCTTTTTTACTTTTAACAATAGAACTTACAGACAGATGTTTGGCACTCCGATGGGTTCACCGTTATCTCCGATAATCGCTGACATTGTAATGCAAGATCTAAAAGAAACAGTACTAAAAAAATTGTCAGCACAACCTTTGTTCTATTTTAGATATGTAGACGATATTCTGCTCGCGCTTCCATCTGATATTGTCAATGACACTTTGAACATTTTTAATTCTTTACATACGAGATTGCAGTTTACCTTGGAGGTTGGTACAAGTGGCAGATTGAGTTTTCTTCATATTTTCTTAAATAACTGTTATCCTCTTTCCTTTATTTTCTCTACAATAGAACGCAGATTAAAGTTTCACAAATATAACAAAGATACTACACACTATTTACGTAATAAAGACAAATATTTTACGATTCCTTATGTTAAATCTATTTCTGAAAGTTTCCTTCCAATCTTTAGTATGTTTCATCAAATTAGCCTTTTCTATTCCTAACACTTTAAATAACTTCATAAAGAGAGGAAAAGACAAGCTTAATTTCCTATCCAATCAGAATGTGTCTACAAGATTTCATGTAATGATTGTGAGGCGAGTTATGTTAGTCAGACAAAAAGAAAATTGAGCACGAGACTACACGAACATCTCTGACATCAAGGAATACAGGTTCTCCTACTGTCATAACTGATCATCGAATCAATTTTGATCATAATTTCAAATGGAATGGATGTGAGAATTTTGGACTGCGAATCTTCTTACAATAAGAGATTGGTGTCTGAAATGATTCATATTAAAAGATAGAAACAAGGTTTTAATAGACAAAATGATACCGAATCTTTACTTGATACTTATTCACATCATTCAATCTCTTTCTCCTTCTTGACTGCTTTCCCTCCCCTATCCTTCTCTTCTCTCCCTACTTTCTCTGCCTTCCACTTTATTCTTTCCTTCTTATTTTTTTCCCCTTCCCTTTTTAGTTTTCCATTTCAACTATCTCTTTCTCCTTCTTGTTTTTATATGTCGTACTTTATATCTTAATTTCCTAGAGAGATGATCAATTTCGATTCCCATTGCATTGCCTAATCGATAATACATCATTTCGACACACATAAGGTACTTATAAATTTATTTGTCCTAAACTCATCATACATATACAATGAATGTCGGCATTTTACTCTTTTTCTATCATCATTATTATTTCTTATGTGCTTGTCTTATAATATCAAAGATAATTTTTGCCTCTTTCTTTTAATTTTGACTTATTATTTGCGACTTGTTTTGTACCTTTCTTTTTATTGTTTCCGACTCGATTGACTTTTCTTATTATTTTTATTTACTTCCGTCGTTAATTTATTATTATAATTTATACTTGCTAACAGAAACATGTTCGTCCTTATACACACACACACGATTCGGAGGAGCATATTTGTGTCAAGTATAATCGTTTGTTTGATTTCCTCTCAATTTGGAGCGAGTTTTATAGTTAATTTTACGTCCGAATGCGAATTTTACTTAATTTCTTATGTTTTTATCTACGTTACAACTCTATTGTTAATTTATTTGTCACATTAATTTATTTGTCACATTGAAAATGATCCAACAAGGATCGAAACGTTTGTTTTGTTCACCTTCTGATTGTCAAATTATAATTTACGTTTTTAATTTTATGACATAGTTTTATTTTATTTTTTAACTATTTATACAGTTTGTCAATTTATGTTTTAGGTTCGTAGCCCTTTTTCCTTTTTACTTATTATGTTTAATCTATTTAATGTATTGCATAATAAAAGTATATTATCTCTACTTGGAAATCTATTACTAATAAATTCCGAAAATAATTCAGAAATCCAAATAACGTATAGAGTACAAGAGTAATATATGTGTATTATTAGGAAATCCACAGCTCATAACAATAGGACCTTCTGCGTTTATGCACTTATTCTAGATTTTCACTTATATATAAACATGTATTAATGATTTAAGATTAAACATGCCAATTCCATATATATCACACAAAATCGGAAGGTCTACCCTTTCAGAACTTTATCCGATTCTTTAATGTGATTGGCTCTTGTCTTTAATTTTTTGCTCGATTTAAGTGTATAGAAACCACAGTAGCTGCGTTCAGTAGAGAGAACTGTAATCAATTAATACTAAGTGATTCTTTAATATGATTAATTTTTGCCTTTAATTTTTTTCTGGATCTAAGTGTAGGACTCAATCATATTAAAGAATCACACTAAGAATGGTGTCCCATGACAGTCGGATTTTCGGAAAACGGAATCTCAGAAATAGAGAGTCAATCAATCAGAATTATTGGGTTGCATTACTGTTTTGTACATATACGTTAAATACAAGATTATCGAAATTGAATTTCTATATATATAAAAAGAAATTTATCATTAATAAATAATTGTTCAATAAGAATTTATTATTATAGTATATAAGTATTCATTTTTCCAGCATATAGGTATAACTATTTAGATCGTTAGGGATAAAATTGCGTGCTTGTCTGTCCGAAAATTTTGTGGTTAGGTTCCCCTAGAGAGCCTCTGTGAGCCGCTTTTTTAGCGCATGCGCGTTTTGAATATAATTCACTGCAGTATTAGATTCTGATTTTTACTGTATGTGCCCAATTTTGACATTTTTATGAAATTACATAAAATTTTTTGGTAAATCAATAATTGAAATTATAAGACTACATAAAATAATAAATATATTTACTATTACATATAAAGTAATTTATATACAGTACTGAAAAATATGTGAAGAAAGAGTAGGATTTCGGAATAATTACACAAAAATAATGCATTATGATAGAAAATATTTTGACAGAAATTGTAAAGAGTATCAACATTTATTGCAAGGATAAGGAAAAACTGCCAAAAAAACTTTACCAGTATTCAGAAAACAAAAATATGTTCTTTTAATGCAAAAATATTAGATATAACATGCAATAAGAAAACAATATTAAATATTAAATTTTATAGGATCAATATATTAGGTATAGTAAAAAGAAATCCATTATTTTTACTATACCTAATATATGCAAGAAGAAATTAATAATAATTTTATACATATAAATAATATACAATATAACATGTATTTATTATATTCGAAGCACTTATCTGAAACAAATAAACTTAACAAAAAATAATTAGTAATTAATAGTCATTTAATATAATATATATAAAAGAAAAATTCGACTAGACACTTGTTTATAAAATTAAAATAAAATGATAAATAAATATTAATACTGAACTTTATTAGAAAAATATGAATTTAATAATGAAAATAAGATAAAAACAACAATATAATTATTAAAAAACTAAAAATAAAACATAAAATTAATGTTTTGAATATAAATTCTGTGTATTATAAAATTCCAAATGTCTTTTATTAGATTCAAAACTTATACAATTTATATTTTTAGATTGAAAAATCGATCGAATTACAAATGGCCGAAATGATTTCATTAGACAATCGATTACATTTTTTAATT